TAACAACAGAAGTCATAATTTAAGGGGTCTTTAACTGGACTGGACTCATCTTGGGTTGAAAACCGGAGCGGATTCTTAGAGACTTTGTTTGTGTTCCTATGAACTGGACTGGACTCATGTTGGGGTGAAACCCGGGGCGGACTCTTAGAGACTTTGTTTGTGTTCCTATGAACTGAACTGGACTCATGTTGGGGTGAAACCCGGATCGGACTCTTAGAGACTTTGTTTGTGCTCCTATGAACTGGACTGGACTCATGTTGGAGCGAAACCAGCTGGACTCTTTGCTTAAGCGCATTGAACTGTATATAGTGACTCTTTTCACCACACACTGATCTTATACACCTTTTTTCCCCATAACATATATCTGACGAAAATGGAAATAGATGTCTGATTTATATTGTATTGCAATTCGGTGATGGGGGAGACATTTCCCAAAGGAATTAATGTGTGTTTTGTTTGACTGAACAATTCCTGTGGAATATTCTAGATTATTATTTGTCAGACCTGAATCTGACCACTTCATTAAAAAAGGGTCAAACCCGCTACAAATGTAAGATATTCCATATCGACAGTGTATTTTCATGTTGTTTTTATGTTTAAAAAATGTGAGAAGGAACAATGGCCGCCGGGCATATTCACATCGCAGACACCTCTGCTTTAAGTCGTAGAACAAAACGTTAAAATCAGGGGAACGGGGAGTTTCAGGATAACAACCAAAAACACATTCAGAGAACCATTGACCTCCAGACCAGGGGACAGGAAGTGATGCTGACCCATGTGTATAAATATATATGCCGTTAATATAGTATTTTGTAAATTGTGTAACTTTTGTTATTATAATAATTTTTTAATCTTTAATACTTTTTGATGCTTCTTAGTTAACATGAAGCTGTCTTTGGCTCTTTCTGCTCTAACAATGTGAACTTCCCCTCTGTGTGACAGATAAAGGTATTCTGATCTGAAGTCAGTTTAGGACTCATTCCTGCACCCATGAGCTCTTGTGTTCTGTGTCTCTCGGACCTTTGTAGCCCTGCTCCGCCTCCGTCAGGTCGATCTTGGTGATGGGTTTGAAATCGACGTCCCACAGGCGGATGCAGCCGTCTCGTCCTCCGGTGGCGAACCCCTCCTCACAGGCGTGCATGCTGAAGATCCCCGCCTGAACAACAACAAAGTATATCACTTGATTACATTAACAACAACCAAAACATTCAGAATCAGGTGGAATTCACTCAATGAAACAAAGCTAAAGGAGTAGAGACAGGTAAACAATGTGACGTCCAATCAGATGCTTACCCCGTGAGCAGCTGCCACTGTGCGGACCAATGAGAATCCCTTCCAGACGTACACGTCTCCGTTCAGCGCTCCGGAGTACGTCAGCTCCTCTTTAGCCGTGGAGACGCACAGGATGGTCTGCAGGTCCCCCGTCTTCCCGAAGACCCCCCTCTTAGGAGTCAGAGCGTTCCCACACAGGGTCCAGAACTACAGACAGAACCACGTTTATATTCCCACACAGGGTCCAGAACTACAGACAGAACCACGTTTATATTCCCACACAGGGTCCAGAACTACAGACAGAACCACGTTTATATTCCCACACAGGGTCCAGAACTACAGACAGAACCACGTTTAT